CCAGTGGTGTCACAAACGTTGTTCAAAAATAATTGGTACTTTATCTAAAGTGTCCAATTTTGTTTGTCCTGCTTGCATCAATCCACAACAACAAATTCGAAATAGCACTGTTTTTGAAGCCATTAAAATAGAGAAAGTCACATCGTTTCAATATCTAGGGGATGTTCTGGATTGTACTGGAACAGCTGAAGCTGCCGTTCGAGCACGCATACGTGCAGCCTGGAATAAATGGCATCTCCTTGCCTCTATATTGATGCGGCGTGACATCCCACTACCACTACGATCAAGACTTTATAAATCTGTGATACGTCCGGTGTTGTTATATGGTGCAGAAACATGGCCAATGACAACCAAACTGGAACAACAACTTCAACGAACCGACATGAAAATGCTCCAATGGATGCAACGAATTAGTCTAAAGGACCACATCAAATCAACCGAAATCCTGCGTCGTGCTGGTTTAGATGATATAAAGGACGAATGCCGGCAACACCGTCTGCGGTGGTTTGGTCATGTCAAACGAAGTGGAAACAGTGCCATAACTTCTCTTGCAGATGTTGAAGTACTTGGCACACGTCCCAAAGGCCGTCCAAAGAAGTCCTGGTCGCAAACAATCGAGCAAGACATGAAAGCTCTAAATTTAAATGAAATGGATACAAGTGATCGTCTAATTTGGCGCAAAAAGTTGATGGCAAAGAAAACAACGTCCTACCTCGGGAAACCGAGTCTCTGGACGCAAAACGAAGATTGATTGATTGATTGATTGATTTATTATTATTATCATTTATTATTATTATCATTTATTATTATTATTATCATCGTCGTCGTCTCCATCATCATCACTACCTGTGTATATACTTGGAGGTACGCCTCCACGAGAAACCAGTCACGGCCCTGGGATGGGCCACGTAAACAAATGAGAATGACGTCATCGGGATGCCCGAGTTATTTATAGAATCCGGAAACAGCTGATCGGGGAATTCCTGAGCTCTCTGACTGCTATCTATAATAATTGTTATTATAAATTATTATTATTACAATTATTATTACTATAATAATAATTATTATTATTTATTATTATTATTTTTGTTTTATTAGTACCTTTAAAGTTTTCATACCAAACCTTTACCAATCTGTCGTTCTGAAAAAGAAAAAAAATCGTCATCATCATCAGCAGCAGCACCATCCTCATCATCCTCATCATAATTAACACCACCATCAGCCATCATTTTAAACAGCAACACCACAACCACCACTACACAATCATCATCATCACCTCTAAAATCATCATTATCATCATCATCGTCATCATCATCACAATCACCTGTACAATCATCATCATTATCATCATCATCATAACGATCATCATCATCACCATCATCATAACGATCATCATCATCATCATCGCCGAAACCTTCCCAGCAGTAGCAAACAGCAGTCTGTCAGTTGAAAATTTCACCATCATCGCCGGATTCGCCAACTTCGTCCACCAGGTACAACACCATTCGTTGCTGGCATCCTCCCCCAATAAAAAATTCCCGCCATTTTCATTCCCGCCATTTTCATTCCCGCCATTTTCAGTCCAACTTCCGGTTGCGTTCTCGCCATTTTGTACGGTGGACTCGGAATTTTCCCCGATGAAAAAATTCGGTGTGGCGTCATCAATTGAGAATGACGTCGTACATTGGTTGTTGTTGTCCGCTGTTGTTGTTGTTGTGGCTGCTGCTATTGTGGGGGTTTGGGTCGTTTGAAGGGCGGGGCTCGCCACGTCTGCTTCCTCCCATAGTTGAAGGAGATTGGTTGATGAGGTTATCAATCTGTCGCCTGATTGGATGATGAGTGCGTATGTAAATATGAGGGAAAAAAACTAACGAACGTATTAATCAATCAATCAATAATTAATTAATTAATTAATTAATTAATTAAATCATTCATTCATTCATTCATTCACTTCTTCAATCACTCATTCATTCATTCACTTCGTCATTCACCTATTCACCTAGCCAGCTAACCAACTGACCAAAGTAGCTCCAAGCAACAGCGAGCACTTCACCGTCCAACATTAAGAGGCCCGTCTGCGACCATTGGTAGTCTAATGACTGAGTGATGAATTCATTCATTCATTCATTCATTCATTCGTTCATTCGTCCATCCATTCATTCATTCATTCATCCATTCATTCATTCGTCCATTCATTCATCCATTCATTCATTCGTCCATTCATTCATCCATTCATTCATTCATCCATTCATTCATTCATCCATTCATTCATTCATTCTTTCATCCATTCTTGAATTCATTTTTTTAATTCGTCTATTCAATCGATCTAGGAATCATTCTCTTAATTGACTGTACATTCATTAAACGACGTTTCATTATCCATCCTTCCATCCATCCATAAATTCCCTCATTAATTCACTCGTTCATTCATTCATTTACTCATTCGCTCACTCATTCACCGACTCACATGTTTTCCTTCACTCCTGACAACGGGTGCGGGTTCAAAAATGTACACTTTGTTTTCGTAACTGGCTGCAATCTATGGCAGAGAAAAACCGTATCGTAGTTTTCATTCACCTATTTTATCATTCAGTCATACATTCATCTAGTCATACATTCATTCATTCATTCATTCTCTCTTTCGTTTGTCCATGCGTTGTTGAACTAAATTACATACCTTCATTCTTAATTCTCTAAAAGCAATAACTAATTAATTCATTCGTTCATTCATTCATTCATTCATTCATTCATTAGTTGATTGATTTTTTTTCTTTTATTCATTCATTCATTCATTCATTCATTCATTCATTCATTCAATACATCATCGCTACTACTGCACCTTTCCTAATTCATGGCAGCAAGCAATGCAAGTTACTTCAGACTGATAACCTAACTCAGTACCTGTGTGAATGAATGAATGAATGAACGAATGAACGAACGAATAAACGAACGAATGAATGAATGAATGAACGAACGAATAAATAAATAAACGAATGAATGAATGAATGAACGAACGAACGAATAAACGAACGAATGAATGAATGAATGAATCAACGAACGAATAAATAAATAAACGAACGAATGAATGAATGAACGAATGATCGAACGAATGAATGAACGAACTAACGAATGAATGAATGAATGAATGAATGAATGAATGAATGAATGAATGAATGAATGAATGAATGAATGAATGAATGAATGAACGAATGAATGAACGAATGAATGAATGAACGAATGAATGAATGAACGAATGAATGAACGAACAAACAAACAAACAAACGCGCACAAACAACCAAAAACCAAAAAAAACACGAATGAACGGGACTTAGAAATTGAACCGTAACTACCAAACAAACCAACCAACTAATGCCATTAATAAGCAATGAAGAAACCGGACCATAAAATAATAATAATAAATAATAATAATGATAATTCATAATAGCAGTAAAAATAGAATCCATAGACAATCAACCAACCAGATAAAATCTGAACTCTGTTTATATCTGAATCCAGGATGACAATGTTGCATCCTGCGGCATAGGCCTATGATTGGTTGGTTTGTTGATTGTGTGGTTGGTTGGTTGATTGGTAGGCTGGTTGGGGGGTTAGGTCGATTGGTTAGTTGGTTGATTGGTTGGTTGATTGGTTGGTTGCTTAGGTCGATTGGTTAGTTGGCTGGTTAGTTGATAGTGTGGTTGGTTGGTTAGAGAGTTGGTTGGTTGGTTGGTTGATTGATTGGCTGGTTGGGAGGTTGGTTGGTTGGTTGGTTGGTTGATTGATTGGCTGGTTGGGAGGTTGGTTGGTTGGTTGGTTGGTTGGTTGGTTGGTTGGTTGGTTGGTTAGGTTGGTTGGTTGGTTGGTTGGTTGGTTGGTTAGGTTGGTTGGTTGGTTGGTTGGTTGGTTGGTTGGTTAGGTTGGTTGGTTGGTTGATACAAGCATTTAAGGCTTTGTTATAGAATTATGTTATCATTATCTATTTTATTTCAATTACTTGGCTTTATTTGATATGTGTGTGTGTATGTGTGTGTATGTGTGTGTGTGTGCGTGTATGTGTGTGTGTGTGTGCGTGTATGTGTATATGTGCGTGTGTGCCAATAATAACAATAACGACCATAAAGATAACAATCAAAGCAA